AGAGACAAAAAAGTTGCGTATTGAGTCCCTCTATTTAAGTCAAGTTTTTAAATAGAAAAATGTAGATGCATTAAAAAGCCCCTTGTAATAACATTTTTGGGTTATAAAAAGTGTCATTTTATTAGCAACTGCCAAATTTCATTCTTCAAAATTCTTCCATAGTGGATTTATTAAATAAAAACAATTTCCCTAATTTTACAGGGCTGTAACTTGGAGAAGAAGTGGTTTTGACCAAAAAGTTATATGAAAGACCTCAATTATGTGTTTTTTCTCATTTAGGGGTGGCTGGGGTTAACTACCCTCACCACCCCAAATTTTTTTTTTCAAGTACTGCTTATCAATTTTGGTGCAATTTAGCATGTGATTTCTTTATACGTTAAGTAGTACTTTTGAAAGAACTAATAAGGGTTAGTAGTTTGGTATAGAAAATATATTTCGCTAATAATTGAAAAAAATAAAAAATAATAATAATTGATGAATACTAAAAAAACGCTACTAAAAAAACATTCTGCGATAATTTCATTTTCCACGAGTATTTCGCTGACAATCTCCTGTTTGTCCATTTCAAATATACACTTTTTTTATAAAAATCTGTTCGTTGGGACCACGGTTTATACACTTTTCTGACCTGCACTAAGTTGACATGACATTGCACTGACTTACACTTCATTGCACTATGACGTCATACGAGTGCCATGTCGTGCAGAGTAGTGCAGTCCCAACGAACAAAGCTATTTTCGCAAATTTTTCAGTTTTTGCCGATAGGATGAAAACAAAACACGATAAAATTACGTTGAAATAAATTCTTTTTATTAAATCTCTAAAAATGAATTATATAATTTTTCACACTGTCGTGTGCCAGTCCATAGATATCAATTGTAGAGTGTTGTCGAAAAGTTCAATTCAGGTACTACCAAAATGCGACAAAATCTGATTTTCCAAAGGTTGAACGTTCTTTGAGGATTCGTCTGTCACTAAACAAGCTAGTAATATAACCATTAAGACTGCATTAAATGTAGTTTGCAAAATCTAGCATTCGGACTTTCAACTCTTATTGAATGTCAAACCAGGTGTGAATAATGTTTTAGTATACAATTTTCATTGATTACTTTGACCAGGCATTTCCGACAACTTCATCGGGGATACATGAGACTGGTTTTTAGGATTTTGTGTCACTTCATTTCAGAAATGGTATAATAGCAGCTTGACGCTTCGTTTTATTATTAGAATTTCAATTCCTAAAAGAGCAATAACTAGTAGTGAGGTATCCCTAAAGTAATCGGCAAAAACTCAGCTGTTTGGAATTTTCGGCATTAGCACACCGAGAGAAATAGATTGTACGAATCGTATTATAGAAAAAATATTAAACATGCAGCATTCATTGTACTATATTCATTATATTTATATGCGTTAGTACAATCTCGTCTCGCTGTCATTATACGTATTAAATACTATATTACCTTATAGTATATTTTTAGTGCATAGTACAATCCATTTCTCTCAGTGCAGTTTCTCGAAAAACGAGATCATGACATGTAAGTTACTTTTTTTCTATCTGTTTTAGTTTCGGAGATTTGAGACACCTGTATAAGTTATACAGGGTGATTCACATAAGAACCGACACAGAGCAGGAACATGAAGAGGACAATAAATTAAGATGATTTAAAGTAACTTACCTCTATACTAAGTTGTACACCTGAGGAGTTATAGGCCTTCAAAGTTGGCTCTTAAATTTTTAAAAAGTTCAATATCTTCGA